GAATTAGTTTAACATCAATGGATGTTCTGTCCCAGGTCAATGCAAGAGTCCCCAGAAAGACTGGTGAAAAATAGTGATATTTACTTGAAAGTCAAAATTACACCTAAGTGTATGAGACTGCAAATATCATCATGTGCCATAACATAGCCCATTAGTACCTTGGACAGATAATTGTGTGACATGCTGACCATAACTCTTTTGGAAATTGCTATTGTTTCAACAACATGCAGAGTTTCTGATGCCCAATTAATTAATTAATTACGCAGGCTTTTCTACTGCTCCAATCTGTTAACTCTGAGTAGCTTACCATTTGATAATTACAGTTAAATACATCCAATAAACCCCAAAAATATAACAACAAAATGACAGCACTTTTTCAGGAGAAAAGACACTTTTCCATTTCCTCTTCATAGGCCTTCCTAAACAGCCAGGACTTAACAGCTGTCTGAAATACTAACAGAGGAAAGGCCATCTTATATCTAGGAGTAAGCTGTTCCTGAAGAGAGGGGGTATTACTGAGAAGGTTTACCCCCAGCGTCCCTGTTATTGGCATTCTTTTGGCACAGGTATCCAGTGAAGCCCTCTGTCTTGGAACTCACTGAACGGGCAGGTTCTACATGGAGTAGGCAGTCTCACAGATAAACAGTTCCCAGCCCAGGAAGGTAACAATCCCCACGTGAATTCACCCAGCAGGTGACTGGCAACAGTGCAGCTCCTAATGAACTGAGCTTGATACTAGGTAGGCTGCTGCATTCCAAGCCAGTTAAAGCTTCTGGATGGTCTTCAAGGACAGGCCCATGAAGAGCAAGTTGGGATAGCCAAATGTGGGATTATAAGGGTGGGAGTTCGAGTTTCTTTTTTATGCTGTCTTCGTTTCCCAGGCTTAAAACATGTTTTTGTAACTGGTACTGAGCAGTTTCTCCAAGGTCATCTCTGTAGCTGTCTAATACAAGACCGAAATCTGGTGCAAATTATGTCTCTCCTCTTGTTTTTAAAGCCAGGGAAATAAAATTGAAAAACTGACAGCCGCTATGTCCCCACAAAGCAGATAATATAAAAAAAACCCTCAATCCTATTCCACAGCATACCACAAAAGATAAAGGACAGGTTATAGGGCAGCAGCACTATATTTATATATTTCTCACGCCTCAGGTGGCACATACTTAAGAGCCCACAATGGGATGGGAAACAGGGAGAAAGCACACTTTGCATACAAAAGGAGCTTTGGCACAAAACAACCTGGTATCACAACACACATAAGAATTGGAGCACGATGCTGATATTGCTCTGTCTAGAACTCCAAAGAGATCCTTGCCTCGGGGCTTCAGATAAACTCCACTCCACCAGCAGGGCAAAAGATCCCCCCACTGGTAAGGAAAGCTGAATTATTTCCTGCAATGCAAGATTGTTCTCCATTGTTCACCCATGTCCATCAGATTAGCAGCCCAGATTGACTGTTTCGGTGATCACATGGTACCTGGGCATTGTAGGGTGGCATTTTCAGGAATGCCATTGATTTGTTGGCAATTTTTACTCCATTATAACTTGTTGCACTGTGTGCTTGCCCCCTCTCTTCCTGCACCAGGAACTTTTACGTTGGTTTAGCTTAGCTCTAGGACTATTGCAACATGAATAAAATATTTCTCTCCTACTCTTATTGTTTGTTTAGTTGTTTATAAGATTTGTCCGCTGTGAAACCTAGCAGACACTAGTCAGCTTACAAAATTTACAAAATATAACCCAATCAATATTATAGTTAATTAAAATAGTAAAGTCCTAAATCTAATCCCCTGAGTTAGGTACTAAAGTTAATGAGCTAAAATTTGTTTGATATGGCACTGCTGGTTATAATAATCAATCTCCAAAGCAGCTGATGCAGATGGTAAACAGCATTACCATTTTCACTTTTTTAAAAGGTTTGAAACTGTGAGAGAAGATTCAAGCTCTCTTCCCAATAACTTTTCATTATCTCATCACAATGAAATCATTATTACTGAAAATATTACATATTGGAATAATTAATTATGTTATAATAGTTTACATCAGTACATGCTGGCTGGGGAATTCTGGGAGTTGAAGTCCACACATCTTAAAGTTGCCAAGTTTGAAAAACACTGGTTTACATCCTGTCTCTCAGGACACAAATCCTATCACTTGCAAGCAATATTAAAAATCAAAAGTCAAAATACAGGAAATGAGAAAGGGTTATATCTGTTCTGTGACCAGCCTCTAGGAATTCATAGGAGTTTCTCTCTGGTTTGCATTAGCTGTCAGTCAATGACCCAGTAAGCAACATATTTTCTAAAAAACTAGCACATAACTTCAGAATTGTGTCTTTCTTCAGATCTTGAAGAAGGTCCCAAAATACAGTGGCAATGAAGATAGGATTGTAAGATGTTATATTTGCCATGGTCTCCTAGTGATTATTAGCAAATATAACAATTTACAAGAAAAAGCTGTAAACCCTCCTTGGGGAGAGGGCAGTCTTGAGACCTCTAGCACTAAGACCAAGACAAAATTATCAGCTATAAGCTCTCTAATTTGAGAGTATAAAAAAGGAAGGTGTGTTTCATTAGTATCTGAAGATAGGATTACCTTGTCACTTACTAAGATAAGAACTCTCACCAACCTGTGCTGGTATAGGTAATCCTCGTTTAGCAACTGCCTCGTACAGTGACCATTTGTAGTTACAACGGTGATGAAAAAGTAACTTTGCAACCAATCCTCACTATTACAACCTTTGCAGGTCCATAAAGCAAAGGAAAGCTGAAGTAAGATCGTAAGCATTGTCACAGTTTCACTTAGTGACCACTTCACTTAACTGAATTGCCAGTTGCAATTGTAGTTGCTAAACAAGGACTACCTGCAAAATGAAGGGCTGGACGTTGGATATATGGACCTGGAGTTGCAGGTCCAGATAGGGACTGTTCAGTTAGGGGGAAAGAACCAGTTTCAAGTAGTGAAAGAGCCCAAAGAGTTGGAATATGTGATATGATCACATCAGCCTCACAAAGATTGAATGATGGGGATCCAGAAGAATCAAATTAATTAATTTAATAATAGTGTAGAACATTGGCCTGCACATATTGAGCATTTAGAGCAACAATCTGTATTGCATGATACCTCAAAATATCTCCACCTGCAAGTGCTGCATTATGCAATGCTAAAAGCCTACTGTCTTCTGCAGAGTTTTAGCTGTCCTGGTAAGCCCACACAAAAGGTTTTGCTGAAATAGTGGCACTGCTAATGATCTATTTTCCATAGAAGACCCTGGAAACTGCAGAGTAATTCAGGTTTCATAAGTACAGTAGAGGCAGCAGGAGGGAGAAATAGCCATGGTGTTTGGAGCTGTACATCTCAGCAGTAATGAGAACTTTTCTCAGGTGCTGGGCAGGTTTCAAAATGGCCCTGGATGTCTGAAAGAGAGTAAGACCAACATCAATCTGAAAGATGGAGCAAAACCACATCTGGAAAGCCCAGCAGGTATCACTGGCTATCAGATAGGCAGTATCTAAGGGATTGGATCAGTTAGAGAAAATAACTACACTGATTAAATTGGACTAGAATGGCTGGATGACACCTATTGTCCTTGTTCAGAAGAAAAATGAAACTGGGAAGAACTGCTGTGAATTTAAAGTGATTATTAACCCTATGCTTTGAGTAGAATGCTATTCCTTATCTCAGATTGAGGATATTTTATTATCCCTGGTAGAGGAGAAAAGTTCCGCAAATTAGATCTGGCATAGGCTTACTTTATAGATGGAGCCAAGGAATTTTCTTACTGGTAACACACACACACAAAGTTACACTGATGGCATTACAGCTACAGGAACTGGCAAAGCCTGATTTGGGTTTTTAAGAGTCTGGGAGAATGTGACCTATAGATGGAACATGAAAAATGTGAGTTTTTCAAAGAAGTAGTGACGTGGACATATCCTAGATAGCAAAGGCAACATGTAGTGCCAGAAAATATAGAAGCTGTTATACTATGAGTACTTTGTCCTAGATTTTAGCAAAGGTTCATTCATTATTGGATGTATTAATTATTACTATAAGTGTTTGCCTAATTTGGCAATAATACTTCATCCCATGAGTTGAATATTACAGAATGGGAAACACTGGAATTGAATTAAGCACTATTAGAGATGTTTTCAAGAGGCAAAGAAGTTTATCACCTCAAACTAAATATTAACACATTATATCTTACAGTTGGCAATCTTACTGGCATGCGATGCTTTTGATTATGGCATTGGAGCAGTGATTTCAGATGTGATGCTCAATGTTCAAGAGCAAATCATAGCTTTTCCTTCTAGATACTTAAACTGTTCACGACACAACTGCACACAAAGAAGCTCTGAGTGGGGCTAGGGTGTTAAACTGCCCAGATTCAAAGTGTTTCCCTTTCACTATTTCAAGGTATCCCATTTTTTCCCTTAGGGTCACAACTGTCACTGGCATTTCATAGTTGTTAGTATCTGATGCAGACAGTGGCAGAGAAGGAGAAGGAGAAGGAGAAGGAGAAGGAGAAGGAGAAGGAGAAGGAGAAGGAGTTGTCACATTAATAGAGAAGGAGAAGGAGTTGTCACATTAATAGAGAAGGAGAAGGAGTTGTCACATTAATAGAGAAGGAGAAGGAGTTGTCACATTAATAGAGAAGGAGAAGGAGAAGGAGAAGGAGAAGGAGAAGGAGAAGGAGAAGGAGTTGTCACATTAATAGCTGTGGGTATTTGACCCAAATGAATATCTTGCCTGTTACACTAGTGATATTACACTAATGATACTTTTCATTGTAGAAATAATATCATAATTGCATAGGTCACCAAATTAGGGATGTATATTTCCACACAAGCTACTGTCCAACACTTTGGAGAAATAGTGAAAGGGAAGGACTGTCAGGAAATTTGAGTGAGGACGTGGCCCTGATGGGCAGATCAAACCATCAGCCAACATCTATTCTGTCTGCCTATTGAGTGAACAGATAAGGAAAACAAACAGTGACATTAGCAGGACGAAGAGACAAGAAAGAGAGACCAGAGAAACTGAGAGTTTTGCAGGATTGTGTACTGTGCTGCCTGGGATGGAAAGGTAATCTCTAAATAGCTATTGTTTGCAAGAGGTGTGTCTTGAGAATTGGGGATTCCTCATTGTGGGTGGCTGAATGGGTGCTTCCTTTTGAATAAAAAAAAATTGTAGGTGGAAATAGAGGGGCCCAGGTTCCAGGAAACAAGAAAACTTATGCCTTTTAGTAAATATTGTTAGTTGGAAAAGGTGCAACCAACTCCTTCAGAAGAGCTGTGGGTTCTGAGGGATTGTGCGCTCAGATGTGATAGGTAAAAAGATCATCTCTGAATGATTGTTGATTGCAAGGAATGGTCCTTGAGAGTTGCTAATTCCCCATTGCTGGTGACTGAGTGACTGCTTCTTGCTGGGTAACCAGGAACAGTGGGAGAAATATAAGGCTGCCAGGTTCCAGGGTACAAAACAATGAGCAAACAAAGAGAGCTAATAGGGGGTTGTTGATAGAGTTAGTTCAGCAAGTTTGTTTAAGGGGGAATCCCTAAGAATTCTTTTACAGTGTGAACTTGCTAATTTGAAAGTCTGAGAGGGGAACAACAAGGGGAAAGAAGACTGCTAGTGCTTAAAAAATGGGAAGATAAATGGACAGGGCTGTGTAATTGTGACTTGTAAAGCTTGTGTATGTTTGCATTTCTGACTGAAAACAACCTGCTATATTTTATTTATTTATCCATTTATTCAACAAAATAGTGTGGACTTGCAGTGGTGTTTAACGGAAAAGCCAGAGTATTGGAGCAAGAAGTGGCCACACTTCAGCTGGTGAGAGAGCATGGTCATTTATCAGATTAAACAATGGAAGGGTTACAGCAGGAGATGACAAAGGAAGCAAATTTCCCTAAGGAGGAAATTTAAACAGAGGAGTAAGTCAAGAGATGAGAGTGACAACCAAAAGTGAGAGTCATATTCTACACAACTGCTTTCAGGCACTTGCAAAACAAAACCACCAGACTCTGTCTCCAGTGGGTATGGAGAGCGACCCTATGGAAAAGGAAACAGGATTGCATAACCCTTAAAAGCAGAGTAGATGCATTAATGCCCTGCAAGAAGTTGAAGAGGGGAGTCATGATAGGTGGCAACCTACTACTATGAGGAAGTGAAACCAATGTGTGCCCACTAGATCTCCTGGATTGTGTGGGGTATTGCCTGCAAGAAACATGGATCAAGGAAGTGACAGATGTACTCCTTCTATTTTAATTTGATTCCTGTACTTAGCATGGGTTTGGATATGATGGCCTAAATGGCCCCTTCCAACCCTATAATTTAAGTTAAAAAAAAAAAAACATACCAGGGCAGGCATCATTAGATCCATAGAACTATCAATAGATTGTGAATAGATTCATTTTGATGTTACAAGGAGATACCTAAATATCTCCTGAGCAATGCTAAATAAAACCCAGGAAGTTTATCTGTTAAGCTTGTAGATTTTCTTTTGGCTTATAGAAATTCATTATATTTGTCAACCAATGAAACATCTGCCAGTTAGTTATTTAGATTGAACTTCACATCCCATTTAGGTTTGCTAAAACCTGACTGCAGAGGGATGTGATTAACAAGCAAACTGGATTGCAGGTGAGACATCTTTTGTTAGTTCAGCATACAAATAGATTCAAGTAACAGTCCTTATTAGGCCATATTCTTACACCACAAATGTAGAACTGGATGTAACTTGACATTGCCATTTTAATCAGATACAAGAATTATCTTCCCCAAGACTGCCAATGCCTCAGTTAGCAACTCTAACCAATGAACCTTAAGTTTAGAGAACAAGAATCCTACAGCGATTTAATTAGATAAGAAGCGCCTAAGAAGGCATCTGATGTCATTAACAGAAAGAGCAGCAGACATTTGGAACATCTATCCTTTTATGTCTAAATCTGTAACTGACTGGACAACTGATCGGTGCAAAATACTGCACTTTTGATTATGAGTTCTATATTATTCTCCTTAAACCAATATTCTTCAGAGCTGTATCTGACCCTAGATAGGGCCAACAAACATGACAGCGAGAGAGATTATCTTTCTCATAGAGCAATTGGTGAAAATGACTTATGGTGGAAGCTGAAGAAGAGAGTGCAGCTGAAGAACACCTAGAGTTGGTCTTGACCTACCTCACCTACCTTTCTTCCTGTCTCATCAGGGATCCTTCCCACAGAGGAATTAGTGGCAAAGGCTGTGTGGGTACATGTGTGTTTATGTGTTGGAAGAAGGAGAGGTTCTAGATGAACAAATTTCTGGGTTGATCCTCGTCTCCTTTTATCAGCATTTCTTTATTCAATTTGATTAGGTACTTCATACATGTTTGGAAGGAATGGAACATTTGTAATTGTTTTTATATGTACATTATCTGTATGTGTCATTTAATACAGCAAAAATTGCTGGCTTTGTTGTCCTTTTGTTATTTTAATCTGGTAGCAAAGTCCTCACCCCCCCCACTCCCCTCACTCCCCCCAAAATGTCATCCTAAAGCAAGGATTGACAACCTTCAAATAACACTATCAACTTTTGATAGTAGAAATGCCCAACTTTCCAGGATATTTTCTTGCTGTTCTAAGGCATAAAATGTAATACAAGCTGTTATGCAAGTCCCAGAATAGCCTTAACACACTTTTAAAAGGACAAAAATAAAGACAAAAATTGAACACCCATCAAAATTGGGTAAGGTTAGAAACAGGCAGTTCTGTTTTCCTCCCCTGAAGAAAACTTTAAGCATTGTCTCCAGCCTCCACCTTAACTTCACTTGATTACTTGATTTTCTCTCCTTTTTGTAATTGTATAGTAAATATCCAGAATACTTTCTTGCTATTTCAGCAAATAAATATTGATTGAAAAATATTTTTTCATAGAGAAACAGCTTTGCAGTTGAGCTTAGAATCTGTGCCTTTTGCTTTCACAAAGACAAGAAATCTTTCACCTAACACAACCCAGAACTCTTCAAGTTCCACCAAGAGATTTATAGAATTCTCATTAACTGAGATTTCCTGCAGGAATCCTGCTAGGATTACCTGTGCTTACTAGTAAATCACTTGCTCCATTTGGTAGATTGAATTCTAAGAATAAAGATCCTCCCAAGAGATAAGATTTTATCACAGTGTTTTATCGTCTGGTATAGGATTGAATAATAAACTGAATACAGTCTGCCAATGATATATGACAGCCCTTAAGAGATTAAATAAATTCTCAGGTTTCTGAGATCTGCCTGTGATTGCAGAACTGGTTGAAATCATATTGATGAGCCTGTCCTAGCTCAGATCCAGTCCTATATAATTAAGTTTTGCAATTAGCCAGACCCTCCCTCAAGTCCTGCTATGCTACCTCATCATGGCAGGAGGGGGATTCCTGGAATTGATGAGTGAAGGATGCCAGGAGTGTACACCAAGAATATATAATTTGCAGCAGGCATGAAGGTCATCCCAGCTGACCAGATAAAACAAGCAGGGACCTATACTGGGCAACTGTGATATAGGAAGATGCTGGAGGCAAATGATCATTGTAGTCACAATGACAAAAGCATCGTTTGATACTTTGCAGGAGAAGGCTACTCCACTCTGGTATTTTACCAAGTAAATCTCATGGATGGAAAATATAATATGATTGGCAATATAGTGTTGGATGATGGGCCCCTCAACTCAGATGGCACTCAACATGCTACTGAGGAAGAAGTGAAGTCTTTGGTTGCATATAATTTAACACAAGGGAAATAACAAGAGAAGGGAAATGAGAGTAGGAGCAAAGAAGAGAAATATATCATTATTTTCAATTGTAGGTACTTGAGTGCAAAATCTTACAGTGGTGCTTAAAAGTTTTTGAACCCTTTTGAATTTTCAATATATCTGCATAAATCTGATCTAAAATGTGATCTGTTCTCCACACAATTAATTTATTGAGGAAAATGATCCAAAGCTAAAATAAATGAACAAGTATAATGGTTTTGACTAATTTGTTTAATTGGGTTCTCTTTATCTAGTTTTAAATTTGTGTGAAGGGTTCACAAACTTTAAAGCACCACTATATATATGTCTACTCAGGAGTAAATTTTGATGAGTCCTATGGGACTTACTCCCATGTACACATGTATAGGATTGTTACCTTGGTTATAGCAGAGCACAAAGCTTGGGAGTTGTGCCAAAGAATAACATTAGCAATGTTTCTGAATATATCTAATATGACCAAAATAAATACAATCCCCTGTATGTTTTGTTTTACTGAGTAGACTTCCTAGGACCAAAACAGCAGTGGGTGTAATTTTGGGGCCACACTAAACCCCAGGCCTTATCTTCAAGGTTACTCGTAATGACTATATATTACATCTGCTATCAGAAGCAGGCTACTGCTGGATAACAGTTGCTAGGAAACACAAGCACGGGATCGTGGTTGTACTGTACTCCTGTGCAGCTTGTGGACTTCCTAAAGACATTTTGCTGGCCACCATGAGAAAAGAATGTGGAATAGATGGGTCTCTTGTCTGATCTAATAGGGTTGTTCTTATATTCCTACAAAATATTTATTTTCATTTATTTTTAGAAACACGTCGTATTCTTTCAATGACAATTTGTGAGCCTTTTGCAAGGGACAATATACTTTAGTGGTTAGTTGTACTTGAAACCTGGCAATGGGAGTTCATGTCTCTTATTAGCCATACAGATATTTCAGTGGCCATTAGCCTAACTTGCCTCATGTTGTGAGGATAAAATGGGGAAAATCTACATAAGCCAACCTGAAGTTCCTTGAAAGAGAAGTCATACTTACAACACCAGAAGATCAACATTATGCTTAATAAGTGTTTAATAATAAATAATAATAATAATAATTCCGGTTTCTTAATAAGTCCGGTTTTATGACTGTACATGTTAATCCCCTGTATGTTTTGTTTTACTGAGTAGACTTCCTAGGACCAAAACAGCAGTGGGTGTAATCCCCTGTATGTTTTGTTTTACTGAGTAGACTTCCTAGGACCAAAACAGCAGTGGGTGTAATCCCCTGTATGTTTTGTTTTACTGAGTAGACTTCCT